ACACATGTTTTGCTTTATGTGTCACTTATGTTTCAATTATATTCCATTTATGTTTCGTTTGCGTTCCACATATGTTTCGTTTATGTTTCACATATGTTTTTACTTACGCCTAGACATAGTTTATGTTTACGTCATGCCCCGTCCACCCTCTATAGAAACCATCCCTGGAGCCCCTTTGGATCAAGCTAAACAATCCCTTGCGCCTGCCACGCGAAACGAAATCTGAATGTCCAAAAGTGGTCCGAACGTGGTGTGGTTCAAACATTTTGACTTCGAAATGTGCTTCGCGCCACAACGGCGTGCACTTTTTCGACGTCGCAACTTCCAAAAGTGGTCCGGACCTGGTGTGTTTTTACATTTTGACTTCGAAATGTGCTTCGCGCCACAACGGCGTGCACTTTTTCGACATCGCAACTTCCAAAAGTGGACCGAGAATGGTGTGCTTTGCACATTTTGACTTCGAAATGTGCTTCGCGCCACAACGGCGTGCACTTTTTCGACATCTCAACTTCCAAAAGTGGTCCGAGAATGGTGTGCTTTGCACATTTTGACCTCGAAATGTGCTTCGCGCCACAACGGCGTGCACTTTTTCATCGCTCATCTGGCCAGATGGCTCCGCCCCCGCCGCTTTAGCGAGCCTACTTTTCGACCCTCCGGAGCCACAAATCATTGAAAAAACACAGTGTTTCGCGACTTTCCTACCTTTTCGCGCATCTGCATCTTCTTTCTTCTGACTCTTTCTCTTCTCTGATCTGCTCTCTTCTACTCTTCTCTTCTCTCTGCCTCTGCCCATCTTCTGCTTTTCATCTGTCCATATTGTCGGAAGTTTGACTTCTAAACTTCCTTCGAATATATATATATATCTATCTATCTATCTATCTATCTCTCTCTCTCTCTCTCTGTCTCTCTCTCTCCATCGCCATATTGATTATATAATCATGTTCTATCTAATTATTTCCAAGTATTTCTACACTCTTCGGAGTGATTGGAGGAACTGGGGTTGCCACTCTTCTTTCGGGGCTGAGGCCTTGGAATCTGTTCTCAATTGCCGGCGCTGAGCCAAGATAGATCAAAAGCTTAGCAGCGCAGCCAACATCAGCGAACCATGATGCTGGAGCCTTCCGAGTGAATAATTGCTGTGACACTCTGCCAAAAGTATCCAACGTATTCCAAGATACTTGACAGATATCTGCCAAGTCCTTTTGGAGATTTGTACTTGCTCAGCTTCCGGATTTCAGCGACATTCAGCGACACTCAGCGCATGGAAACGTCCCAAAGCATAAGCTGCTGACCATCTCGCGGGACCTCAGCCACACGGCGCCAGGGCCGGCTCTGCCTACGCATCACTCAGCACCTGAGCAATCCTGAGCACACCACCGTTTTGCTTCAACCTGGCCCCGTGAGATGGGGAGGGAATTGTCCGGCATCACAAGCGGCAGTCATCAGCAAAGACCAGCATCGCAATGAGTGACATGAATAGTATTTCAATGTCAGAACCTATGGGCAGCCAAACGGCCTGGTGAAACTTGGGTTCAAATTGAACACGCAACTTCCGTTTAAGCTGACGCGGATGGAGACACACATATTCAAACATCGAGTGGAGGATGTGACAGGATCAGAACATAATAAGCAGATATTAACGGTGAGGCTCATGGCGCCTTCTTCAAAAAATTGTCCAAAAGCTTCGCCGCACAAGTGTTCTGAGACTTGCCGCCTCATTAGAGCTTGGAATTGAAATACATGTCTCATACGTAGTAGTTACATACGTCTGATCTCTCACATCTTGTGGCATTTTAACCCAAGTTCATAGCTGCCGATTTGACCAAGAATATACCAAGAATTCAGAGTCCGTCAATCCATGTCAATCTTAATTCATCCTGGCCAAGCGAGAACCCATTCTCCACCAGAGACATCAAGAAGCCACGAAGGTGACAAGTCCCCAGCCGAAGTCATCAGAGTATTCCAGGGTTTTCCGAATGGTGGAACATGGTAGAACTATATCATCGCATATCTTTGCCAGTTTCAAGTGACCTTAGGTATCCAGGTATCCTGTTGGTTCTGGAGAGTTGAAAGTAATTTGTATCTTCCCATGTGCAATGTATATTTTAAGATGTTTTAAGTATCAAGCAGCCTTGCCAGTGCTTTCCCACTGCTCACACGATGTTACATGTTGTTTGTGTGTGTGCCATGTGTGCGCGCAGCCAGAGCAGCCAGAAGCATGTCTTCAGGTAAATCTGCCTGCTACTGTAACCGATTTGAAACGCACATGTAAAAGAATCTTAAAGGATGTGACCTACTGTGAAATATGTGCAATAAGTACAATGAATTGTGCTTAACTATATTAATTAATAATGATTATAATTTTCACATGATTTCACCTAACTCCTGATTACGCAGAATTTCCCAAAATCAGCTCCAGGTACCCTGGTTGCCTGGGCAAACTACTCTGCACACTGGGATGCTAGGCTGCCAACTCCGCTTCGTGGGCCGCAGGGAAAGGTCCGCCCCTTTCTCCTGCAACCTGACGTCAAGAGATCAAGGATGACACGAAAAAACATCGATAATTGACAAGTTACGACAATGTGACATGTCCAAGGCTGGGACAACAGAACCGTGGGTTTGAGGTTGGAATGAGCTGCGCAGTAAACTGCAGTTCGACCATGTTTGTCCTGTCTGGGTTGAGGTCTTTCCAGATTCTTCAGAATGTTCAGAAGTTCAGCATATTATGTTCAGCAGGCCCAGTCATCCGTGGCAGGTACTGGGCTGAAAATAGATGGCTCCTGCGCATCCAGGATGTTCGTGGTCACGTTCTCCGCCAGCCATTGCACCTAAGTTCATGTCTACCTCAATCTGTATGGACTCCAATGCGCTAACAGGACGGGTGGCCCTGGGGCGGACTGGACGCATGAATCCTGCGCCTTCCTCATATAGCCTCATATCTGCTAGGCACAACTTTGACAAAGAGTTCTTGGCGATTTATTCAATGAGGAGTTCAAGTGGTTTGTACCATGTTGTAATATTGTACCACTACATGCCCCATGATAACCTCTCTGGAACTGCGGCGTTGATTTCCAGGGAAGGATCACGGTTGCACTACTACATTGTGTCTATGACTTTGAGCACTGGTGTTGATTCTCTACAGCGACAATCCAATTCGCGCAGATTTCAATCACTTCACAGACTTGACATTTTCCGTTCTATATCATACATCTCTTCCTTCAACCTTTTCAGCACTTCCTCATGAATGGGAGTCGCCAAAGCGGCTGCAGTTTCTTGAAACAGGGCACAGCTTCAGTTAGCCCCGCGTGGGCGGCTAAATGCAACGGCGTCTGCCCTGCATCAGCGCCGGTTTGAACAATGTGCAAGGCGTTCATGTTTGGCTCATTGGTACTCGTTGGATCTCATTGGATAGATCAAACATGATCAAACCCACCTTTATGATTCAGGACGTTCGGATCCGCTTTGGCGCTCGCAAGTGTCGCGCATGATCGCCTGGCAGTGATCCGTTCAAATGGAGCATGGAAACTCAAAGGGTCAAAAGGCCGAAAGATCCAAAATACAAAAATATACAAAAGGGGTAGACAAGACATGGCAAGACATGGCAAGACATGGCCAGACTGATGGAAAGCAAAAAGACACACTTTCGGACTCTATGGAGACTTGGTAGCAGGTGCACTGGGCAGACAGTCAGCCCGTGGCCTGCAAAAAAAACGGTTTGCCATATTTTACCATATATATGTGCATCAGGTTCGACACACTGCAATCATGAATCGGGCCTGTTTGGGACAAAGAAGAAAGGCGTTTGACCATGACCTGATGCAATCTGCAATCTGCGAGTTCCTCCACAAGTCTATATATAATTTGAGCTGGATATGATGGAAACAAAGTTTACAAAAAACAACAACAAACATCTTGATAATTTCATCTGTCCCCAGGTCCCGGTAAACCTAATTGTTCGACGCCACGTAGACGTGAGCAATCAATCAAATAGGCAAAAAGGACCCCTGTTGGGGTGAGGATGTAGCTCCCAGCGCTCAAAGCTCGAAAAGTGACTGACAAGCAACATGTGTTTTGGTATTTTTGGCCGTTTACACGCTCGCACTGAGGCTTAGACAGTCTCTGGCCTCCAAGTTCGCCCTGCCAGTGCAGAGTTGAGAAGACCAACTGTACTAGTTAATTAGATCTACAGTCACCGACAGAATTTTGGAAATGAAAAAAGGTTCGCGCGCCGCAGGTATCGGAAAAGGTCCGGGACCGAAACCAAGACAAAAGATTAGCGACATTACGGACTTTCAAAAAAAAGAATTTTGGAAATAGCAATTTTCGGATCCTGATCCTTCAAAAAAGAAAAAAAGGATGAGACAAATGTCTACAAAAGCCTCTAATCCACGATGCAAAATTAATTTTGGAAATCTTACTTATCGGATCCTGATCCTTCAAACTACCTGGTTTTGATTTTTTTTGGGACCCTCATGCTCCAAACCACCTGGTTTACAGTTTACAGCGTATTTGCATGATTTTGGGACAAAATCCAGATTCAGTTTTGGGATCCTTATCCTCCAAACCACCTGGTTTACAGCAAACTTGCATGATTTTGGGACAAAATCCAGATTGAGTTTTTGGATCCTGATCCTCCAAACATCTCCAAACCGCCTTGTTTACAGTTTATTTGCATGATCTTGGGACTAAATCTAGATTCAGTTTTCGGATCCTGATCCTCCAAACCAGTTGCTTTACAGCGTATTTGCATGATCTTGGGACTAAATCTAGATTCAGTTTTCGGATCCTGATCCTTCAAAAAAAAGGATGAAACACATGTATACAAATGTCTACAAAAGCCTCTAATCCACGATGTAAAATTAATTTTGGAAATCTCACTTTTCGGATCCTGACCCTCCAAACTACCTGGTTTTGAGTGTTTTTGCATGATTTTGGGACTAAATCCAAATTCAGTTTTGGGATCCTTATCCTCCAAACCACCTTGTTTACAGTGTATTTGCATGATCTTGGGACTAGATCTAGATTCAATTTTCGAATCCTGATCCTCCAAACCAGCTGGTTTACAGCGTATTTGCATGATCTTGGGACAAAATCTAGATTCAATTTTTGGATCCTGATCCTTCAAAAAAAAGGATGAAACAAATGTCTTCAAAAGCCTCTAATCCACGATGCAAAAATAATTTTGGAAATCTTACTTTTCGGACCCTGATCCTCCAAACTACCTAGTTTTGCAATGTTTTGAATGTTTTTGCATGATTTTGGAACTGAGTCCAGATTCAGCTTTGTTATCCTTATCCTCCAAACTACCTGGTTTACAGCGGATTTGCATGATCTTGGGACTAAATCCAGGTTCAGTTTTTGGATCCTGATCCTTCAAAAAACAGGATGAAACAAATGTCTACAAAAGCTTCTAGTTCACGATGCAAAAATAATTTTGGAAATCTTACTTTTCGGACCCTGATCCTCCAAACTACCTAGTTTTGAAATGTGTTGAATGTTTTTGCATGATTTTGGAACTGAGTCCAGATTCAGCTTTGTTATCCTTATCCTCCAAACTACCTGGTTTACAGCGTATTTGCATGATCTTGGGACTAAATCCAGGTTCAGTTTTGGGATCCTGATCCTTCAAAAAAACAGGATGAAACAAATGTCTACAAAAGCTTCTAATCCACGATGCAAAATTAATTTTGGAAATCTTACTTTTCGGATCCTGATCCTCCAAACTACCTGCTTTACAGCAAACTTGCATGATTTTGGGACAAAATCCAGATTCAGTTTTGGGATCCTTATCCTCCAAACATCTCCAAACCACCTTGTTTACAGTTTATTTGCATGATCTTGGGACTAAATCTAGATTCAGTTTTCGGATCCTGATCCTCCAAACCAGTTGCTTTACAGCGTATTTGCATGATCTTGGGACTAAATCTAGATTCAGTTTTCGGATCCTGATCCTTCAAAAAAAAGGATGAAACAAATGTATACAAATGTCTACAAAAGCCTCTAATCCACGATGTAAAATTAATTTTGGAAATCTTACTTTTCGGACCCTGACCCTCCAAACTACCTGGTTTTGAGTGTTTTTGCATGATTTTGGGACTAAATCCAAATTCAGTTTTGGGATCCTTATCCTCCAAACCACCTTGTTTACAGTGTATTTGCATGATCTTGGGACTAAATCTAGATTCAGTTTTCGAATCCTGATCCTCCAAACCAGCTGGTTTACAGCGTATTTGCATGATCTTGGGACTAAATCTAGATTCAATTTTTGGATCCTGATCCTTCAAAAAAAAGGATGACACAAATGTCTTCAAAAGCTTCTAATCCACGATGCAAAATTAATTTTGGAAATCTTACTTTTCGGACCCTGATCCTCCAAACTACCTAGTTTTGAATGTTTTTGCATGATTTTGGAACTGAGTCCAGATTCAGCTTTGTTATCCTTATCCTCCAAACTACCTGGTTTACAGCGTATTTGCATGATCTTGGGACTAAATCCAGGTTCAATTTTGGGATCCTGATCCTTCAAAAAAACAGGATGAAACAAATGTCTACAAAAGCTTCTAATCACGATGCAAAATTAATTTTGGAAATCTTACTTTTCGGATCCTGATCCTCCAAACTACCTGGTTTACAGCAAATTTGCATGATTTTGGGACAAAATCCAGATTCAGTTTTGGGATCCTTATCCTCCAAACATCTCCAAACCACCTTGTTTACAGTTTATTTGCATGATCTTGGGACTAAATCTAGATTCAGTTTTCGGATCCTGATCCTCCAAACCAGTTGCTTTACAGCGTATTTGCATGATCTTGGGACTAAATCTAGATTCAGTTTTCGGATCCTGATCCTTCAAAAAAAAGGATGAAACAAATGTATACAAATGTCTACAAAAGCCTCTAATCCACGATTCCACGATGTAAAATTAATTTTGGAAATCTTACTTTTCGGACCCTGATCCTCCAAACTAACTGGTTTTGAGTGTTTTTGCATGATTTTGGGACTAAATCCAAATTCAGTTTTGGGATCCTTATCCTCCAAACCACCGTGTTTACAGTGTATTTGCATGATCTTGGGACTAAATCTAGATTCAATTTTCGAATCCTGATCCTCCAAACCAGCTGGTTTACAGCGTATTTGCATGATCTTGGGACTAAATCTAGATTCAATTTTTGGATCCTGATCCTTCAAAAAAAGGATGAGACAAATGTCTTCAAAAGCCTCTAATCCACGATGCAAAAATAATTTTGGAAATCTTACTTTTCGGACCCTGATCCTCCAAACTACCTAGTTTTGCAATGTTTTGAATGTTTTTGCATGATTTTGGAACTGGGTCCAGATTCAGCTTTGCTATCCTTATCCTCCAAACTACCTGGTTTACAGCGTATTTGCATGATCTTGGGACTAAATCCAGGTTCAGTTTTGGGATCCTGATCCTTCAAAAAAACAGGGTGAAACAAATGTCTACAAAAGCTTCTAATCCACGATGCAAAATTAATTTTGGAAATCTTACTTTTCGGGTCCTGATCCTCCAAACTACCTGGTTTACAGCAAATTTGCATGATTTTGGGACAAAATCCAGATTCAGTTTTGGGATCCTTATCCTCCAAACATCTCCCACTGATGCTACTGTAGCCATAATCATGCACTGTAGCCATGGCCAAAAGAATTATGGAAACATGTCAATAGAAAAGTTGTCACCCCTTTCAGGAAACAAATAATTATGGAAATGGTCATATGCCAAGAAGCACCCTCACATGGAAAAAATATATATGGAAATTTAACTGCAGCACGTCACGCCCCTTCCAAAAAGGTTCGGTATACAAGGTATTACCGATTTTTGAGGTGTGCATTTTTATCAGTAAAACAGAATTATGGAAAAATACGGCCCCGGCGCGCCGCAGTTGTTTGCTTGCCCATGTCGAACCTTTTTTCCATTTCCAAAATTCTGTCGGTGACCATAATTAGTAACTTCAGTGGTTGCTCTGTGAGCCCAGGACAAACGTGTGGTTCGTCGATGTCTCTTACAGGGATATGCTCACTCAAGCCACGACAATCGGATAAACTGGTCTGGGCAAGTGTTGAGCGCCGCTGATGTGTGTGTGTGTGTAAGCTGAAGTTGCAACTGTGCTTATCTATGCCTACAGATCTATGCAGCTATCTATCTATCTATCTATCTATCTATCTATCTATATACCTGGCTCTCTCTATATATGTAATTTAATTACGTGTATCTCTATTTCTCTGCATACGGGTATCTATCTTTGTCTATACCTGCAGTATATCAGATCAGTGGATCCTATTCGGCCCGATTCGATCTGTCCATCTATCCACCTATCCATCAATCTAGTCCGCCTAGTCTATCTGGTCTATCTAGTCTAGGAAGTTTGTCTATCTCTCTCCCTCTCTCTCTCTCTCTCTCTATCTATCTATCTATCTATCTATCTATCTCTCTCTCTCTCTCTGTCTCTGTCTCTGTCTCTGTCTCTATCTCGATCTCCATCTCTATCTCTATCTCTATCTAATATGTCTATCTTCATCTCTTTCTCTCATATTCTTTCTATCCATTCTATTTTCTTGTCTGTCCATCTACCTGCTTACGTGCACAACAAACATTTCCTCCCAAGTCTTCGCACCACAAAGCCTGGCTGAGTCAACTGAGTGCCCAAATGTTCCCTGCAAGCATGCCTGCAGCTGGTGAGGCACTTCATGATATCTTGGGAACCGTCGAACGTAGCCAGGTGCAAGGGCGTGACCCCCTGGCAGGACAGGGCATCGCAACATGGCAAAAATCAGCTCAACTCATTGCAGTAATGTGCCTGGCGATGCTATTAGATGAAATGTTGTATGCTACTGAACACAAACTATGACATGCTATGACACTGGCCTTGTTATCGCTAAGTTCTGGTGAAGCCCGCTTCTTGAGCAAAAGTTTCACCAGGTCGGCATGTTGAGCCTGTCAGAGGCGCTGGGATCTGGCTATGACCCGTAGTGATCCATACAGACCCTGTCTGGCCTGGACTGCTTGGGAGAGAAGCGGCACGGAGTCCTAGACTCAAAGAGAGGTGGCACTGAAGACATACGCTGCAGTGAAAGCTGCTCACACGGGTGCAATTGGCATTGAGACACTCTACTTCTTCATCTTTCTGGACCCAGCCTCGCTATGGCTCATCAGATTAGGACTGAAATAGGCTGTACAAAAAAACGGAACCAACACGAAGATTCAAATCAAAAGCAAATCCCCTCGGTTCGCTCCCGCGATGCATTTACATTGCCACCCTTGGCAATGGCGTCATCCACGTCGGTCAATCTGGGACCTTTCTTGATCACCTTAGCGACCAGCTTCCGATAGGTTGATCTGGTCCCATGCCTTGAATCCATCACTCTGAGACTCTGATTATCCCGTGATCCCCACCTCTGAGACGACCTCCACCAAGTCGACCATCAGACTGCGCACCCTGCGAAAGATGGGTTGCGGGCAACATCCAAACTTTCACACAGAATCACATATTATATATATATATATTATATTGTTTTATTTATCTATTTATTGTTTATTCCCCACCTGCCAGGTGAGGGTTGTTAGTGAGTTTTTATCAGAGTTGTTCTTCTCCTCCTCTTCTTCCTCCTCCTCGTTCTCCTCCACCACCTCTGCCTCCACTTCCATGTCCAATTCCGCCTTGCCAACTCTTCGCCAAGCTCTTCGCCAACTTCCGCACGCAGTGGGCACTGCTGGACCTCAACTCCAAGGGTCTGAGCGCACCGGGCACTGCTGGACCTCAACCTGGAACCTTCCGAGCTCAGTGAGCACCGCTGGACCTCAACCTGGGACCTTCCGAGCTCAGTGAGCACCGCTGGACCTCAACCTGGGACCCTCCGAGCTCAGTGAGCACCGCTGGACCTCAACGGCCAGATAGAATGCCAGAAGATATGCCAGATACAACGCCAGATAGAATGTCAGAAAGAATGCCAGAAGATATGCCAGATAAAGTGCCAGAATGTTTGCCAGATAGAATGCCAGAAGATATGCCAGATAGAATGCCAGAAGGTATGCCAGATAGAATGTCAGATAGAATGCCAGAAGGTATGCCAGATAAAGTGCCAGATAAAGTGCCAGATAAAGTGCCAGAATGTTTGCCAGAACATATGCCAGATAGAATGCCAGAAGGTATGCCAGATAGAATGTCAGATAGAATGCCAGAAGGTATGCCAGATAAAATGCCAGATAAAGTGCCAGAATGTTTGCCAGAACATATGCCAGAAGATTTGCCAGATAGAATGCCAGATAGAATGTCAGAAGATATGCCAGAAGATATGCGAGATAGAGTGCCAGAAGATATGCCAGAACATATTGCAGAAGATATGCCAGGTAGAATGCCAGAATATATGCCAGAACATATTGCAGAAGATATGCCAGGTAGAATGCCAGAATATATGCCAGATAGAATGCCAGAAGATATGCCAGATAAAATGCCAGAAGATATGTCAAATAGAATGCCAGAAGATTTGCCAGTAACAAAACGTGTAGATGTCATGGTGGGGATAACTCAAAGTAAAGTAGTTTGTTTATTTATTTATTTGTTTGTTTGTTTGTTTATTGATTTATTTTATTTATTTATTTGTATAATCTATATAGTATACAAATATATATATACATTATATATATACATTATATATATATGTGTGTGTGTGCCTATATAGTGTATATATATATATATAGTATATATAATAGAACGTTGTCAGGGCATTTTGAATGATTGGTTCCTGGGACTGCCATGTACACTGATTACACACATTGTCTACAAGCTGCTGCTACAAACAAAAACAAAGTACGGGCAAACTTGGGATGGTTCAGGACATGTCAAGGCTTCGCACTGAAATCTTCAAACAGGAAAGGCTACCCTTGATGACACAGTAAAATTAAACTACAAAGTACGTGTAAAGTATAAAGCCAGACCTCAACAGGGGGTCAAAATGTGAATAGATTTCATGCTGATCTATGCAGATTTATGCTGTGACATCGCGCCCTCTCGCTAAGAATGCTAAGACTTAAATAGTGACCTTGGGAACTTGCGCAAAATCAGAAGGATTTGTCTCATGATATGAACAAGGAACACAAAACTTGAACACCTCATGAGGATATACTTTGCATTACATCTACAGTATCTGTACTCTACGCTGCCTTCGGGCAGTATAATATTTGTGATTATTTGTGCATAGCATCCGTATTACACACACCAACTGCACTATGACACACTGGCCCTTTACTCACCGCACTGAATTGCATTCGTATCAGGGATAGGGTTGCACTGTCACGCACCAAATTTCCGAATCCTCCGAATACATTCAATTTTTTAAAGATGGTTGGAAAGTAAAAGTTTTAAGCCTCAGAACGGTTTCGTATGTTTTCATATACATATGTATATTCCCATATCAGTCCATCATCATCCATACCAGTCGGCGTACAAATAGAATTCCGGCAGCGGATGCTCCCAGAGCTCCCGTTGCCTGGTTTGATCTCACATTGGACCCGGAACTCATGAGCCAACGCAGCTGAGCACGACAGCATCAACAAACTGGTCTCAAGGGCTGCTTTACATTGCTATACAAATCATAGATGCACACAATAGCATTGCATAACTAATTGTATTTAATTGATTTTAAATATATATAACTAATATATAACTAGGAGCACGGCCTTTAGATGGCCGTGTGTTTTTTTTGATTCATGGGATGTTTTTGATCATGTTTGATGTGCTCGTGCCAATACAAATTCCATCAAATTCCTGTGATTTTAGTGTAAAGGCCGTGAACGCCTTAGTTCCAAGCAGAAAATGAAAACAGTCATTTCGCCTACACGAAACCATCATTTTGGGATTTCATCAAAGCCCCCAACTAATTCGTTTTCACAGTTTTTCAGCCGTCAGATCGCCAGCACCACATGAACACATATTGTGTCCCCCCCGACGCGACAGGTGCATCTACTTCATGTGCAAGCTGACATGAACGTGAGTGTATGCCCCAACCGACGGTAGCATCTAATTCATGTGCAAGTTCACATGAACGTGGATGTATGCCCCACCCGACAGCCACAGCATAGCACCTACATCATCATCATCATCATCATCACCATCATCATCATCATCACCATCATCATCATCATTCTTTCATCTTCTTGATCATCATGGAGGTATGAACGCAACGCCCACTTCATTAAGAACCTAAAAAACGCATGCGTGGAAGCCCAAGAGAACATAGCATAGCATGACGCACGCGTGGAAGCCCAAGAGAACGCACAGTAGCGTAGCATGACGGATGTGTGGAAGTCCAAGAGAACGCCCAGTAGCGTAGCATGAAGTACGCATGGAAGTCCAAGACAACGTACAGTAGCGTAGTATGACGTATGTGTGAGAGAGCCAGTGATGTTATTATCCCACCCCTATTATCCCACCGCCACCCCACCCCCCGCACCCCCCCACCCATGATACATGCCCCAACCGACCGCCACAGCGTAGCATCTACTTCATGTGCAAGTTCACATGAACGTTAATACATGCCCCACCCCACCCCACCCCCCACCCCCAACACCACGGCCGTCTAAAGGCCGTGGTCCAACTATGCGTACCCTCATTGCAAAGAGTGTTTTTTCCCGTCATCAATGAGCTTGTCATACAGAAGCCAAAGGGATTCTGTACCAAAATGGATTGAGGGTAGGCCAAGCTGCAGTCAGGCGTCAGGCAGTGGAATTGTGAGGCAGAAGGTTTGAACGTGTTGTTTTAATGTCTAGCTTTTTCGTTCTCAATATTATTGAAAGGAAACTAAAGACAATATAAAGATATATAAAGACAATCAAGGTGGGTGCCCCCTAGAATTGTGGGTGCCCCCAGAATTGTGTTTTCTTCTTTGTCGTCACCACTCTTTCTCGTTTGTTGTTTTTTTTGAAATATTTTCTTGCGCAATTTGAATTTGATTTGGTTCTGCTCTTGTTCATTCCAAACTATTGGTACGAGCTCTTTTTCCCCACCTGCCAGGTGAGGGTTGTTAGATTTTATGTCAGTTGCCTCCTCGTCCTCCTCCTCCTCCTGCTCCTCCTGCTCCTCCTCCTCCTCCTCCGCCTCCTCCTGCCTCGTCCTCCTCCTCCTCGTCCTCCTTGTCATCCTTGTCGTCCTTGCTCAACTGCGACCCGCGATCCACAGTGTTCTCTGCCGGACCTCAACCACGACCACCCACGCCCAGTGTTCCCTGCCGGACCTCAACCACGACCATCCGCGCCCAGTGTTCCCTGCCGGACCTCAACCACGACCATCCACGCCCAGTGTTCCCTGCCGGACCTCAACCACGACCATCCACGCCCAGTGTTCCCTGCCGGACCTCAACCGCGGGTATCCGCGCCCAGTGTTCCCTGCCGGACCTGAACCACGACCATCCACGCCCAGTGTTCCCTGCCGGACCTCATGTAGGAAGAATATGGACAAAGCAGTGCAGAAAAAGTTTAGCAAAGAAGTCAGAAAGAATTTCAGAAGATATTCCAGAAGAGATGCCAAATAGAATGCCAAATAGAATGCCAGATAGAATGCCAGAAGATATGTCAGAATATATGCCAGAAGATATGCCAGATAGAATGCCAGATAGAATGCCAGAAGATTTGCCAGATAGAATGCCAGAAAATATGCCAGAAGATATGCCAGATAGATATGCCAGATAGAATGCCAGATTGAATGCCAGAAGATATGTCAGATAGAGTGCCAGAAGATATGACAGATAGAATGCCAGAAGATTTGCCAGATAGAATGCCAGAAGATATGCCAGAAGATATGCCAGATCATATGCCAGAAGATATTCCAGATAGAATGCCAAATAGAATGTCAGAAGATATGTCAGATAGAATGCCAGAAGATTTGCCAGTAAGAAAATGTATAAATGTCATGGTGGGATCACACGAAGTAAAGTAATTGCTTGTATTTTTTCCAACCTTATTCCCTCCCGATTACTTAGACTTCCTCTTCTCAATGGTGATGTTTGCTCCTGGACTCTTGGCATTTCATTTTGCATAGTATTTGCACCAGCTAGAGCCTCTCATCTGTGGGGTATTGTAGAATTTTGGATCTGCCACCTTTCATGATTGGTTATGTAACTGCTTTGCAGCATTTCCAGGGCTTGATTTGTACACTGATTTGTACATGTTGTTGTCAGCGGTTTTAGAGCTGGAACCTTCCATGTGGTTGCAGTCTTCCTCTCCCCGGTTGTTGCAGCATTTCACGGCCTCAACTGCATGGTTGCTGGAACATTTTCGAGCTGGCACGTCTCCTTGGTATGGCGTCTGCAATATTTTAGAGATCGAACCTGTCATTTCAGCAGATTTCAGCACTTTGGAGCCCGAGCCGCTCATTTGCTTTGTGATCTGTGGCAATCATTGTTCATCATTGTTCTGTTGTGTTACTTGGCGTCTTCAATGGCTATGCAGTGCCTCCCCCAACAAAGAAAAACAAAAGGATTTCTGGAGTTCCTCTGCTGCTGTCTTTGCGATTCTTGTCATTGCCGTGCCGTTCTTGTTGTGGCCATGTGTAGGGTCTTTGTCTTGCCTTCCGTTCTGCTTTTTTTCCCTTCCTACTACTGTTACTACTACTACTACTACTACCACCACCACCACCACCACCACCACCACCACGACTACTACTACTACTACTACTACTACTACTACTACTACTACTGTTACTACTACTACTCCTCCTCCTCCTCCTACTCCTCCTACTCCTACTCCTACTCCTACTGCTACTGCTACTGCTACTGCTACTGCTACTGCTACTGCTACTGCTACTACGACAACTACGACGACTACGACGACTACAACGACGACCACTACTCCTCATCTTCTCCTGCTCCTGTTTTTTCTTCCTGCCCTTACCCTTCTCATTGTCCTTCTCTCTCCTCGCTATTGATTGCACTGTTCTGTTGCCTTTCTTCTTCTGCTTGTTTTTGTTGTCCTTGTTGTCTCTCTCTCTCTCTCTCTCGATGTTGCTGCTGTTGCTGTTGTTGATGGTGATGGTCTGCGTTGTGCCTAAGAGCTGTTGCAAGGTTCAAAGAGCAGAAAATTGCAAGCTGGATGTGTTTAAAACCTCTGCGCTTCCACACCCCGCGGGATACCTCCAGAATTCTAAACTTGTTTGAATATCTTAAGGAAAGATTGAAATATTCCAAAGTTGTTATTTAAAGTTGCTGAAAAAATATAAACATTAGTTTGACGATTCTTTTAATATATATATATATATTATATATTATATATATATATATATATTATATATATATTATATATTATATATATATATATTATAAATGTTTTCCAACCATTGTGAGAAAGTTGTTCGCTACTATAGTTGCTACAATTACAAGCAAATAAGGTTACAAAAATAGAGAAAGACACAAAAAAAACGAAAAGCAAAGAAGAAAAACAAAGGAGAGAAGCAAAATGTACAGAGGCAAAACGCAGAAAACAGAGAAGCGAAAAGCTGTGAAAACTGGGCTCACCTGCATTCCACGAACAATTCCCCCCACTCAATATTATTAAATGAAATGAGAAATATGAGAAAATAAAACGTCATGGCTAGCCCTCCTGCAGAATATATTGTGTTTTTGATTCACAGATTTTCCCTGTCATGAGCCGTTTGTTTTCATAATCTGCGTTTGAAAAGACTGCTGCCATGTCCTTTACAAGGACACCGCAGCTTTGCAGAGTGAAATCTTCGATTCGATGTCTCAATGTGGGATATTCGCTTCTGCCTGCTCACATTATCAACAATGCGCCCGTTTTATTCTTGAATGCACTTCCCCCAACGTCAAAAAGTTCTTGAAGTGTATCAGTGTATCTTCATTTCTTTAAAACAGAAGACGCAGAGAATGCCTTACTCATCATCCTCTTACCATGTGTGACTCAGAGCCAGCCCCCCACACTGCAGTGATATTGTGTGGTACTCTTTTCCGGACTGCTGTGGCAACCAGCTCTTGAAATGTCCGTGGCAAAGGCCAAGTGGCCTCACACGAATTACCAGCGCTGTCCTCAAAGACGAGCCTGCGCACTCCAAAAAAAATATCAAGTGAGCAGATCAAGGGTACGCACGTCCAGTTGGAGAATGTAGCAATCCTCCTATACATGTGATACATGACACGATGGCACTTGATTAAATCCTTGCGATTCTCATTTCCATGTTCCTGCCTATGCCGATGCAGGCAATTGTCGGCATGCTTCACGAGGTCCATTTGACAGGTCGCCAAACTCTGGTATACCATGTCGCTCACCACAGGATGGCCCACCTGCAAACATTTACAGCAAACAGATCTGGATGTATCTGGGACCTCTGTGAATCGCGTAGCAAGTGTACCGTCAGTGAGTGCTGCATGTCACGGTTTGAACGCGCTTCCCATACCCATTACCCGCCATAACAATTTCGAATTTACAGAACCACTTGGCCGGGAATGACTTGCGAGCCACGAGACGTGAGCTAAATGACAACCTCAGAGTTTCAAGCAACAGTTTCAGCCTGTGGCCTGTGCAAAAGCCATGCCGTATAATGGAATAAGCTCAAATCATCTGCGCTGCCAGGGTCACAAATTGCAAAGGCACAATGCTGCACCCTGCTTTCCCTAGATTGAATTGATGACCGAAACGTATCAGACACACAAAGACCAACGATGTGGTATTGTTTCGTGGGCAGCGCGTCTCATTCACCCGTAGCTTTTACATGGAAGGAACAAAAAGGACCACTGTGTCCATTCGATGCTGTCCCAGGGTCGGATTTGATGCTTCCTGCCCGTCACAAGTCCTGGGCTTGGATATGATCGGATAATATTGTATGCATGATGGGACAGCATCTCAAAATCTGCTGGAATCTATGAAGTTGGCAGTTGTCCTTCACCATCCTTCACACATCTTGCAACATGTCACCTGCCAAGCTCGTCCAAGCTTCTCATACTCAGCTGACTGAGGCTGTTCATCTCAGGGTGCTGCAAGTGGCTTTGCTGCTGGACGATGGTCTTACTGGGCCGCCCAGAGCCGCAGGTAGAGGGCAGGCCACCAAGCCAAAATACCCCGACTGTGATCTCCTCAATTCTTGGTGAAAATTGTGCCATCATGGGGCATCTCATATGGCATCACATCTCAATAATGTCAATGGGGTCTCAGCAGCTGCTAGCACTGAAGCAAGGACATCAGGACGTGAAGAAAAAAATGTATTTGATTGTATTTGGTGGTACTTGGATCCAATCAAGACGAGAAACGTGGCGTGTGAGCCATCCATGGCACAAGACTTGGTACTCCCGAACCAAACGCCCAGCGTGCAGTTGAGCCTCCATGCGCAACTCTATCGCTGTGGTACATTTGGTGCCGATGAAACACGGAAAATGGTTTGGAATCTATGGAAATGCGGAGGACAGCTTTTGAATCAGGGGCTGCTGAAATGACGTACTCTTGCATCGAATGTCCGAGCGTTTTCCACAGGATGCATCCTGCCCATTAATCATAATCAAACCTTTTGCCAAAATATGCCAGAATGGTCCAAAATGCGTACCCTTCAAAGATGCCAGTGCACAAAAGAGACGCATACCGCCAGGCCAATGGGTTGCTGAACCGTATTTGAAAAATTCGACTGGGAAGCTCTCCATTCCAAATCAGCTGGTGTCTCTTTTGCCAGGACCTGGAGATCGTAGAAGGCCCAAGGAGTTTTGGCCAACAGCACCAAGCCAGAGCTTGGAACATCCAAACGATGCCTCAAAGCAACACCCTGTGAAGCTCAACTTTGATCCTATGCTATGCATCTCCTCTCTTCCCATGTGTGATGAACTTTGTCGTACCCTGCGCATCCGCACAACCCACAACAAACATCAACAAACCCTCTCAAACTTTTGTTCTGCAGGTGTATCTAAAACTATCTATATAAATGCCTTTGGAAAACTTGAGAGACATAGAGACGGGCTGCAGAAATCCATGGTGATGGGTGACATCATCAAAAAGAGCTTGGTGGCCAAACAGGCTCTTGGCAACTTCCACCAGCTGAAGCTGGTTATGCCCACCGTACACCTCCCAGCCACTGGGCTTGTAAAACACCACCTCACTGAAACTGCTGAAACTGCTGAAACAGCTGTGCAGCCCCGCACCGGCGGTGAACACTGCAGGCTTTGCGAAACTGATTTGCCAAAAAAAGATTTTGCATTTCAAGTTTTGCAAATCTTTCAAATAGTTACAGTGGTTACAGTGTGGTTTGAGCATGTCAAATGCTTTGGACGGTTTCAATCCCAGCGGACCTTCATGCAAGAGCTTTCGTCCAAGCAACCCCAGTTCCAAATGCCAAAAACACATAAAATTCACCCATCAAAAGACCGAGCCATCCGAGCCACACGGTCATGTTGGTCAAGTGCCACCTGCGGTCCATGCAGTCCACTGCCTCTCTGTTTGACGATGTTTGCTGCACCTCGTGACGCTCGGGGAAACTCTGCAGCTGCAGAGCAGAGGTTCAAGCGCAGGGCAGTGTAGAACCACGTCCTTGTTTGCCATGGAATTGACGACACTGGGAACCACTGGGAACCACTGGGAACCACTGGGAACCACTGGGAACCACTGGGAACCGTGCGACAAGTCTTCCGTTGCTTCCAGGCCAAGCTTTGAAACAAGCCAAATAAACATGCCGAAAAGGCAAGGAAGCTCACAACAGTCACCCAACAAGTCATCAAGGTGGACGGTAGGTAAGATGGTGAATCCAATCTTTCGCAGGATTTACATGGATTTACGGTGTACAGGCTCAGCCACGACCGCCCGCTGTCACACAAAATGCATCAAAATGCCATGTCTCTCCACGCAGCCAACGAGGTGACAGGAGAACAGCACGCCAAGGACTTTCAGCCCCGAACCGGCGAAGGAGAGGTCACCATTCGCCAAGAGGTCCTGGGGCGGCTGCAAAACTCCAAAAACACTGCTGACAATCTGCAATTGCTTTGTCTAGTGTTGGCCAGCGAGGGGCTGAGACTCAGATTTGCCAAATCTTCAAATGTCAGTTTTAGCCAGGGATCCAGCGAGACTTTCCAAGTTTGCTGCGCCAAAGAATGGTAAAACTCGAAGCTGCCACAGCTCACAGCACCCCAAGCGGACATGACCTCAAGCGGGCTGCAGCCCCGCGCAATGCATCCACATTCTGTCGAACATCTTTCCATCAAGATCGGGGGGCGCAAGCATGCAATGTCGTGTATATATATATATGTATATATATCCGCCGACCCCGGCAACGCAAGGGGGAGCGCGTCAAGGAAGAGAGGTTGTACAACTACAACAGCCACTGCAACACAACTACAACAGCCACTGCAACGCGAAACATGCAGCATCAGCACGTCAAAGCAGCAGCAGCAGCAGCACCAGATGCAATTTTGGGTTTCTCCGTCCTTCACTGCCATGGCGTTTTCCTATCTGGGGACCAGCAGCAGCAACAGCAGCAGCAAAAGCCTTTGCAGCAGCAGGAGGAAAAGGTAGCCAAAATTCATATTCATAGCAGCAGCAAGAGGAAAAAGTAGCCAAGATCATCATTTTCAATGGGTTTTAAAATTTTTGGTTAGGCATTTTCGGGGTGCAATTTTGAAGTTTCTCCGTCCTTCACTGCCGTGGTGTTTTCTTATCCGGGGACCAGCAGCAGCAGCAGCAGCAGCAGCAGAAGCAGCAGCAAAAGCCTCTGCATGTCAAAGCAGCAGCAGCAGCAGATGCAATTTTGGGGCTTCTCTGTCCTTCACTGCCATGGTGTTTTCCCATCCGGGGACCAGCAGCAGCAGCAAAAGCCTCTGCAGCAGCAGGAGGAAAAGATAGCCAAAATCCATAGCAGCAGCAAGAGGAAAAAACCGCCAAAATCATCATGTTCTATGGGTTTCAGAAGTTACGTTAAGCAATTTCAGGGTGCAATTTTGGGGCTTCTCCGTCCTTCACTGCCATGGTGTTTCCCCATCCGGGGACCAGCAGCAGCAGCAGCAGCAAAAGCCTCTGCAGCGGCAGGAGGAAAAGGTAGCCAAAATTCAAAGCAGCAGCAAGAGGAAAAAGCCGCCAAAATCATCATTTTCTATGGGTTTCAGAAGTTACGTTAGGCATTTTCGGGGTGCAATTTTGGGGCTTCTCCATCCTTCACTGCCATGGTGTTTTCCCATCCAGGGACCAGCAGCAGCAGCAGCAGCTGCAGCAGCAGCAGAAAAAGCCTCTGCAGCAGCAGGAGGAAAAGGTAGCCAAAATTCATAGCAGCAGCAAGAGGAAAAAGCAGCCAAAATCATCATTTTCTATGGGTTTCAAAAGTTGCGTTAGCATTTTCGGGGTGCGATTTGGGGGCTTCTCCGTCCTTCACTGCCATGGTGTTTTCCCATCCGGGGACCAGCAGCAGCAGCAGCAAAAGCCTCTTCAGCAGCAGGAGGAAAAGATAGCCAAACTCCATATTCATAGCAGCAGCAAGAGGAAATAGAAGCCAAAATCATCATTTTCTATGGGTTTCAGAAGTTACGTTAGGCATTTTCGGGGTGCAATTTTGGGGCTTTCTCCGTCCTTCACTGCCATTGTGTTTTCCCATCCGGGGACCAGCAGCAGCAGCAGCAGCAAAAGCCTTTGCAGCAGCAGGAGGAAAAGGTAGCCAAAATTCATAGCAGCAGCAAGAGGAAAAAGTAGCCAAAATCATCATGTTCTATGGGTTTCAGAAGTTACGTTAGGCATTTTCGGGGTGCAATTTTGGGGCTTCTCCGTCCTTCACTGCCATGGTGTTTTCCCATCCGGGGACCAGCAGCAGCAGCAAAAGCCTCTGCAGCGGCAGGAGGAAAAGGTAGCCAAAATTCATAGCAGCAGCAAGAGGAAAAAGCAGCCAAAATCATCATTTTCTATGGGTTTCAGAAGTTACGTTAGGCATTTTCGGGGTGCTATTTTGGGGTTTTCCGTTTTTCACTGTCACGGTGTTTTCCCATCCGGGGACCAGCAGCAGCAGCAAAAGCCTCTGCAGCAGCAGGAGGAAAAGGTAGCCAAAATTCATAGCAGCAGCAAGAGGAAAAAGCAGCCAAAATCATCATGTTCTATTGGTTTCAGAAGTTACGTTAGGCATTTTCGGGGTGCAATTTTGGGGCTTCTCCGTCCTTCACTGCCATGGTGTTTTCCCATCCGGGGACCAGCAGCAGCAGCAGCAGCAGCAGCACAAGCCTCTGCAGCAGCAGGAAGAAAGTAGCCAAAATTCATAGCAGCAGCAAGAGGAAAAAGCAGCCAAAATCATCATTTTCTATGGGTTTCAGAAGTTACGTTAGGCATTTTCGGGGTGCTATTTTGGGGTTTTCCGTTTTTCACTGTCACGGTGTTTTCCCATCCGGGGACCAGCAGCAGCAGCAAAAGCCTCTGCAGCAGCAGGAGGAAAAGGTAGCCAAAATTCATAGCAGCAGCAAGAGGAAAAAGCAGCCAAAATCATCATGTTCTATTGGTTTCAGAAGTTACGTTAGGCATTTTCGGGGTGCAATTTTGGGGCTTCTCCATCCTTCACTGCCATGGTGTTTTCCCATCCGGGACTAGCAGCAGCAGCAGCAAAAGCCTATGCAGCAGCAGGAGGAAAAGGTAGCCAAAATTCATAGCAGCAGCAAGAGGAAAAAGCAGCCAAAATCATCATTTTCTATGGGTTTCCGAAGTTACGTTAGGCATTTTCAGGGTGCGATTTTGGGGCTTCTCCGTCCTTCACTGCCATGGTGTTTTCCCATCCGGGACTAGCAGCAGCAGCAGCAAAAGCCTATGCAGCAGCAGGAAGTAAAGGTAGCCAAAATTCATAGCAGCAGCAAGAGGAAAAAGTAGCCAAAATCATCATTTTCTATGGGTTTCAGAAGTTACGTTAGGCATTTTTGGGGTTCAATTTTGGGTTTTCTCCGTCCTTCACTGCCATGGTGTTTTCCTATCCGGGGACCAGCAGCAGCAGCAGCAGCAGCAAAAGCCTCTGCAGCGGCAGGATGAAAACGGAACCAAAATTCATAGCAGCAGCAAAAGGAAAAAGCAGCCAAAATCATCATTTCTATGGGTTTCAGACGTTACGTTAGGCATTTTCGGGGTGCGATTTGGGGGCTTCTCCGTCCTTCACTGCCATGGTGTTTTCCCATCCGGGGACCAGCAGCAGCAGCAAAAGCCTCTGCAGCAGCAGGAGGAAAAGATAGCCAAACTTCATATTCATAGCAGCAGCAAGAGGAAATAGAAGCCAAAATCATCATTTTCTATGGGTCTCAGAAGTTACGTTAGGCATTTTCGGGGTGCAATTTTGGGGCTTCTCCGTCCTTCACTGCCATGGTGTTTTCCCATCCGGGACTGGCAGCAGCAGCAGCAAAAGCCTATGCAGCAGCAGGAAGTAAAGGTAGCCAAAATTCATAGCAGCAGCAAGAGGTAAAAGCAGCCAAAATCATCATTTTCTAATGGTTTTCAGAAGTTACGTTAGGCATTTTCGGGGTGCAATTTTGGGGTTTCTCCGTCCTTCACTGCCATGGTGTTTTCCCATCCGGGGACCAGCAGCAGCAGCAGCAGCAGCACAAGCCTCTGCAGCAGCAGGAAGAAAGTAGCCAAAATTCATAGCAGCAGCAAGAGGAAAAAGTAGCCAAAATCATCATTTTCTATGGGTTTCAGAAGTTACGTTATGCATTTTCGGGGTGCAATTAGCCAAAATTCATAGCAGCAGCAAGAGGTAAAAGCCGCCAAAATCATCATTTTCTAATGGTTTTCAGAAGTTACGTTAGGCATTTTCGGGGTGCAATTTTGGGGCTTCTCCGTCCTTCACTGCCATAGTGTTTTCCCATCCGGGGACCAGCAGCAGCAGCAAAAGCCTCTGCAGCAGCAGGAGGAAAAGATAGCCAAACTTCATATTCATAGCAGCAGCAAGAGGAAATAGAAGCCAAAATCATCATTTTCTATGGGTTTCAGAAGTTACGTTAGGCATTTTCGGGGTGCAATTTTGGGGCTTCTCCGTCCTTCACTGCCATGGTGTTTTCCCATCCGGGACTGGCAGCAGCAGCAGCAAAAGCCTATGCAGCAGCAGGAAGTAAAGGTAGCCAAAATTCATAGCAGCAGCAAGAGGTAAAAGCAGCCAAAATCATCATTTTCTAATGGTTTTCAGAAGTTACGTTAGGCATTTTCGGGGTGCAATTTTGGGGCTTCTCCGTCCTTCACTGCCATAGTGTTTTCCCATCCGGGGACCAGCAGCAGCAGCAAAAGCCTCTGCAGCAGCAGGAGGAAAAGGTAGCTAAAATTCATAGCAGCAGCAAGAGGAAAAAGCAGCCAAAATCATCATTTTCTATGGGTTTCAGAAGTTACGTTAGGCATTTTCGGGGTGCAATTTTGGGGCTTCTCCGTCCTTCACTGCAATGGTGTTTTCCCATCCGGGGACCAGCAGCAGCAGCAGCAGCAAAAGCCTCTCCAGCGCCAGGAGGAAAAGGTAGCTAAAATTCATATTCATAGCAGCAAGAGGAAAAAGCCGCCAAAATTATCATTTTCTATGGGTTTCAGAAGTTACGTTAGGCATTTTTGGGGTGCTTCTCCGTCCTTCACTGCCATGGTGTTTTCCCATCCGGGGACCAGCAGCAGCAGCAGCAAAAGCCTCTGCAGCAGCAGGAAGAAAAGGCAACCAAAATTCATAGCAGCAGCAAGAGGAAAAAGCAGCCAAAATCATCATTTTCTATGGGTTTCCGAAGTTACGTTAGGCATTTTCGGGGTGCAATTTTGGGGCTTCTCCGTCCTTCACTGCCATTGTGTTTTCCCATCCGGGACTGGCAGCAGCAGCAGCAAAAGCCTATGCAGCAGCAGGAAGTAAAGGTAGCCAAAATTCATAGCAGCAGCAAGAGGAAATAGCAGCCAAAATCATCATTTTCTATTGGCGTCAGAAGTTACGTTAGGCATTTTCGGGGTGCAATTTTGGGGTTTCTCCGTCCTTCACTGCCATGGTGTTGTTTCCCATCCGGAAACCAGCAGCAGCAGCAGCAGCAGCAGCAAAAGCCTTTGCAGCAGCAGGAGGAAAAGGTAGCCAAAATTCATAGCAGCAGCAAGAGGAAAAAGCAGCCAAAATCATCATTTTCTATGGGTTTCCGAAGTTACGTTAGGCATTTTCGGGGTGCAATTTTGGGGCTTCTCCGTCCTTCACTGCCATTGTGTTTTCCCATCCGGGACTGGCAGCAGCAGCAGCAAAAGCCTATGCAGCAGCAGGAAGTAAAGGTAGCCAAAATTCATAGCAGCAGCAAGAGGAAAAAGCAGCCAAAATCATCATTTTCTATGGGTTTCAGAAGTTACGTTAGGCATTTTTGGGGTGCAATTTTGGGGCTTCTCCGTCCTTCACTGCCATGGTGTTTTCCCATCCGGGGACCAGCAGCAGCAGCAAAAGCCTCTGCAGCAGCAGGAGTAGCCAAAATTCATAGCAGCAGCAAGAGGAAAAAGCAGCCAAAATCATCATTTTCTATGGGTTTCAGAAGTTACGTTAGGCATTTTCGGGGTGCAATTTTGGGGCTTCTCCGTCCTTCACTGCCATGGTGTTCCAGCAGCAGCAGCAAAAGCCTGCAGCAGGAGGAAAAGGTAGCTAAAAGTCATAGCAGCAGCAAGAGGAAAAAGCAGCCAAAATCATCATTTTCTATTGGTTTCAGAAGTTACGTTGGGCATTTTCGGGGTGCAATTTTGGGGCTTCTCCGTCCTTCACTGCCTTGGTGTTTTCCCATCCGGGGACCAGCAGCAGCAGCAAAAGCCTCTGCAGCAGCAGGAGGAAAAGGTAGCCAAAATTCATAGCAGCAGCAAGAGGAAAAAGAAGCCAATATCATCATTTTCTATGGGTTTCAGAAGTTACGTTAGGCATTTTCGGGGTGCAATTTTGGGGCTTCTCCGTCCTTCACTGCCATGGTGTTTTCCCATCCGGGGACCAGCAGCAGGAGCAGCAGCAAAAGCCTCTCCAGCGCCAGGAGGAAAAGGTAGCTAAAATTCATATTCATAGCAGCAAGAGGAAAAAGCAGCCAAAATCATCATTTTCTATGGGTTTCAGAAGTTACGTTAGGCATTTTCGGGGTGCTATTTTGGGGCTTCTCCGTCCTTCACTGCCATGGTGTTTTCCCATCCGGGGACCAGCAGCAGGAGGAAAAGGTAGCCAAAATTCATAGCAGCAGCAAGAGGAAAAAGTAGCCAAAATCATCATTTTCTATGGGTTTCAGAAGTTACGTTAGGCATTTTTGGGGTGCTTCTCCGTCCTTCACTGCCATGGTGTTTTCCCATCCGGGGACCAGCAGCAGCAGCTACAAAAGCCTCTGCAGCAGCAGGAAGAAAAGGCAACCAAAATTCATAGCAGCAGCAAGAGGAAAAAGTAGCCAAAATCATCATTTTCTATGGGTTTCAGAAGTTACGTTAGGCATTTTCGGGGTGCAATTTTGGGGCTTCTCCGTCCTTCACTGCCATGGTGTTTTCCCATCCGGGGACCAGCAGCAGCAGCAAAAGCCTTTGCAGCAGCAGGAGGAAAAGGTAGTCAAAATTCATAGCAGCAGCAAGAAGAAATAGCAGCCAAAATCATCATTTTCTATGGGTTTCAGAAGTTACGTTAGGCATTTTCGGGGTGCAATTTTGGGGCTTCTCCGTCCTTCACTGCCTTGCTATTTTCCCATCCGGGGACCAGCAGCAACATTTTCTATGGGTTTCAGAAGTTACGTTAGGCATTTTCGGAGTGCAATTTTGGGGCTTCTCCGTCCTTCACTGCTATAGTGGTTTTTCCATCCGGGGGCTGTCTTTTGAACAGCAGCAGCAGCAGGAGGAAATAGTAGCGAAAATCACATGCTTCTACTATACTAGCTAAGTGCTATTTTGCAGACGAACAAGATCGACACAAAAATCACAAGAAGAGCGACTACAACGGAGCATATTTTTGTTGTTTGGCAATTTTCTTGCTCATTGCGTTCCTTTGTGTGAAAATCTATGGGTATGTCAAATGTTGCGACAGAAGGGTTAACTGTTAACGAAGTTGCCATTCATAGCAGCAGTGTAAAGCTTCCAGTAGATCTTACTACGAGACAATGGGATGAGATCAGATTGAAACCAAACCAGCATATGAAACTTTGGGGTTGAACTATGCTGAACTAACCAAACATGTGGAATATTCCATCAAGAATCGTGTGTGAAAGAGTTTTGTGTGTCTGAAAGAATTGTGTGCCGCTAAGTTGTGTAAGATGACAACCAAATAGCCAACGCCACCAAAGTTGATGTCCGTACTGTTGAATCTGATCTACACAAAAGAAAAAAGAAGAACCAAAAAAGAATGTTGCGTCACAAACCTCCTGGTGTTTTTTCCGGGGTCGGCGGCAGGGGCGGCAGCCCTTAAATATATATGTGTGTGTGTATGTAAATGTCCATGTTTGTCCGAGTGTCCGAGTACAGTAAGCATGTGAACGTTTACATGGACGCATGACACGTGCATTATCATGCATCTATATCATGTATGGTGTTCTTGTGCAAGTTAATCTGATTTAAATATATTTAACTACATTAAATCTACATTGTGCGTGTATTGATTAATTAGTCCGTATTCTTCATAGACAATACTCATATATGTGTGACGACGTGTGGGGCCAAGTCTGAGGTTTCAGTGGGGCAGTCAGTCAAGGTTCAAGGAGACCAACAGTATCTGTGACAATACCATGATGTTATTAAGCGATGTTAAGCGCATCCTGCAGCTGCTCTCATCCTGGAGAGGATGGTGCAATACTTTGAAGCATTTCAATGCATTTCCGGGAAGCGCATCTTCAATCAACCTCGGGACCTTCGCCGTAATTACTATGCCAGGGGTATCCCAAGAGTACCTGTGCGTTTGAGTAAACTGGTTCACTCACCCTTGGTCCAATGACAAATGAAACCCTCCAAACCTGCAGCTGCATGCACTTCATGCCACTACGTCAGTACGTGCAGCAAAGGGCAGCATTTTGTCGAAGCAATCTTTGAAGGCACACTTTGGGTTCATCGTGGAAAAGGGATTACTACGTTCCACCTTCACACGTGAGACTGCAACACAGCATCTGACAAACAGCTCAGGAGCGCTCACTCGAAACGTCATTAGTGTCAGAGGAATTTCCGCCCAAGCCACACAAGGAAGCCGCAAACACCTAAAACTAGAAGAAATCGAACGACATGGGCGATGTAGCAAAATATCAGGACCTTGGTCAGAAATGATTTGATCTCCTCCTTGTCATTCACCTGGGGGAAGGGCTCATCTGGTACCGGCAGACCCAAGAATTTGCAGAGAGGCTCCCAACCTTCTTTGACGTCGAACACCAGCAGCTTCTCCGGAGGAACCGTAGATTTCCTGGAAGTTCAGGGGTGTGGTTTTCACAGACTTTCATAGAACAAAAGTGTACAAAAGTCATGAGAGAAGGAGAGGGATAGAATTCAACCGAATCTACTTCTGCGAGCTCCGGGACTAAAAACTGGCTACCACTCGTCACTTCTTCTTGCCGGTTAATTCCTGAGGTTTTTGCCTTGTGATAAATTTGTAACATTTTTTGAGGACACCATGGGAAACTGGTGATGTTGAAAAGATTTCAAATGTGGCAAAAGTGCTTCAAAGCTTCACCGTCTCAGTCCACGCTTTGAAGGATTTGATAGACCCTTCACGATCTGTGCGCTTCACACCAGGCAACATTGTGGCATTGTGAAAGGCTTGGGCCTCTAGGGAACACATGGGAGCATGAGTGACATGGGTGTCCGATGGTGTTCAAAGGGGCAAAGCAGGAACAGCACGGCACCGGAAAGCCCATAAGCGAACGCATAGGCCTCCAAGATTGACCAAACCAAACGCTAAACCAAACACTAAGCCAAACTTCTTCAAAGGGGCGCAGCACCATGGGGCGAGAGTGATGGATGACGGATTATGATTGATCTGATTTGGCAAGGATACCGCAAGTACCAAGTTTGCCTCTGCATTCCTCTTGTTTCAATATCTAAACTTCCTCCCCGGTGCCCCCCAGCAACTTCATTTGATTTCATATCTGGTTCCCCCGTTGCCTCTCCACATTTTCTTGCATGCATCTAGTTTCAATATCTAGGCTTCCCCCCTCGTCTCTCTCTCCACAACTTCTTGCATGCTTCGTCATTTGGGTTCAATGTCTAGGCTCCACCCCTCATCTCTCAACAACTTATTGCGCTCATCTGGTGTTAATATCTAATTTTCTCTTCCCCCAATGTGCCTCTCAACTTCCTCCATCCATTTGGCTTCATATGTAGGTTTCCCCCCGTTGGCCTCCCCACAACTTCTTGCGTTTATGTTGTTTCAATATCTGCACCCCTGTGCCTCTCAGCAACTTCCTGCATGCATTTGGTTTCAATATCTCGGCTTCCCCTGTCCCTCAACAACTCATTGTGCTCATCTGGCTTCAATATCTAACTTCCCCCCCATGCGCCTCTCATCAAACTTCCCAAACTTCCTGCACTCATTGGGTTTCAATATCTATACTCTCCAGGGGGTGCGACGCCCCTCTCCTTGTGACACATTGGGTTTCCCACCTCCTTCCCATTCCGCCCTCTTCTTCTCAATTTCTGCTCTTCACACCTCTTCCGGCCTTTCAGTTACAAAGGGGCTCAACTTGGTCAACCTCTGTGAAAGTGTGGGGGCATTCATCTAGTTTCAATATCTAAACTTCCACGCCTGGTACCTCTCAGCAATTTCCTGCATTCATTCACTTGGGCTCAAGACTTCCCCTCTGGCCTCTTAACAACTTTTTGCATGCATCTCAACTTGGTTTCAATGTCTAGGCTTCCCCCTCGTCTCTCAACAACTTCTTGCGCTCACCTGGTTTCAATATCTAACTTCCCCCCACCTGTGCCTCTCACCAAACTTCCTAAACTTCCTGCATTCATTTGGGTTCAATTTCTATACTCTCCAGGGAGTGCAGCGCAACTCTCTTTGTGACGCATTGGGTTTCCCACCTCTTTCCTATTCTGCCCTCTTCTTCTCAATTTCTACTTTTCACACCTCTGTGCCCCACTTGGGGGCATTCATCTGGTTTCAATATCTAAAGTCCCCCTTGTGCCTCTCAGCAATTTCCTGCATTCATTCATTTGGTTTCAAGACTTCCCCTCTCGTCTCTTAACAACTTTTTGCATGCATCTCAACTTGGTTTCAATGTCGAAGCTTCCCCTGTCTCTCAACAACTTCTTGCGCTCGTCCGGTTTCAGTACCTAACTTCCCCCCACCTGTGCCTCTCATCAAACTTCCCAAACTTCCTGCATTCATTGGGTTTCAATCTCTATGCTTCCCCCCTCCCCACAACTTCTTGCGCTCATCCTGTTTTAATATCTAAGCTATCTCCCCGGTGCCCCTCAACAACTTCCTGCCTTCATCTTGCTTCAATATCCCCGGTGCCCCTCAGCAACCAACTTCCTGCATTCATTTGGTTTTATATCTGGTTCCACCGTGGCCTCCTAAAGTCCCCCCCCACCTGTGACTTGGCAAAACGCGTTGTTTTGATCCGCTCAAGGCCTATGGTGGAATTGTGAAATGACCACGTGTTGTGGGAATGAAATGTGCAACTGAAACTTCACTCCAATCCGTACTCTGCATGTGGATCTTGTGAAATGGAAAATGTCAAAAGCACCGCTTGCATTTCGCAAGCTTGAACGGTCGCATCGTCGGCTGTGAAATCGTCGGGCAATTCGCTTGGTGAAAGCACTCTCCATGAGCTGTGTAGGGCAGCGTGTCAGGGATGTGCTCGTTGGTGAGCTTCGGAGCATTTGTTGTGTCCACTCGATTCTGCAGCAAACCAACCTTACGCTGCATGTCCCGAGTCTTCACCATGTAGTTCTGCGTGTTCTTCTGATTCATCTGTTGAAGCTTGGTGATCTCATTCATCGCTTGACTCAGTTCTTTCTCCAGCTGTTGACACTTTCTCTCAATGTCTTGGCGCTGGAAGTTCGGGGATTCTCCAGCGCTCGCACTGGATTCAGTCCACAAGCAATTGGGATTCTCAATCTCATCCGTCTGCACCATGCAAGAGAGCGCGCTTGCCATAGAGCTTGTCAATGATCGTGTGATAGGTGATGACATGGACAAAGAGCTCTGGTGTGAAGTAGAAACTGCATCATCTCGGTTTCTGCCATTCATCCATCCAGAGATTCGGTTTCCAAAATGCATCGCAAGACGTTCCAAAACCAAAACAAGCAATGCATAATGATCATGGCATAGAAAAGCGTCCCATCATTCTGATCATGTTCCTTGGAGTGCTCTTCGGCGCTCGCAATAGGAAGTCCACTTAGGACCATCAATGCCAGAAAAGGAATCGCTCCACGTTTGAAGGATGCAAACATAGGAGTCCACCAAAGATTGTTGACATTCTTTGTGGCTTGGTCATGCTGTTCGATCAACGTAGCGTCATCCATGTCAAGGTCGCGCTCCTCAATCTCATACTTCGGTGGCAAACGTTTCATCTGCAAATGATGCGTGTTTTCGTTGTGAACCACTAGTGTTCCAGAAGTCAAAAGTTCCATCATCTGTGGAGAAACCATCAGCTTCGTCAATGCGTCAGCTACCATTGATCTGGTTGGGATCAATGACATCCATCGAATGCGCCCAGCCAATCTCCACTCACGCAAACTCAGCACGTAGATTCTCTGCTGCTTGTCCTGAGGAAATGTTTTGCTTCCGGTGACCAGTTGGTAAACATCGTTGCAATCTCCGTAGTCATCAATGGGCAACTGTGGGTTGCCAACTTCTTGGATTGCGGCCAGTTGCTGAGGGGTTGGACGCTTGTCCTTGTGCAACATCTCGCTCAAACGCACGTTCACCAAAACTGATGCTTCATGTCCAGCAATTGCAGCTAAAGTCTCAGTCTGACTGGTGGAGTATGAAATTCTCTTCGCCTTTGAACCATGGCTCCAGAGGATGTGTGCATGTCCTCCGTGGCATTTGATCTCATCATCGTTGCATGTGATTTCGTAGATGCCATCTTCTGGTTTCAAACGGCCTTCCATCAAAAGAATCAAAACTCCTTCATGTGCATATGACTTCTCCTTGGTGTGTGAGCTGCTGTCGTGGAAACATGCTAAGCGCAAACCATGTTGTGGATCAAGCTTTCTGAAATACAAACCAACATCCTTGCAGTCTTTGTCTTGTGCACGTTTCAAAACCGGGTTGGCTTGACGAAGATGTTTGATCCCTGCTGTGGTGACGGAGGTTGCAAGTTGGGAGACATCAGAGATGAGGTCCACACGTGTGGCTGTGAGCCAAAGCAAAGCCCCCAAAATTGACCGATAGCTGGTCGTCTCCTCCTTGCTCAATCCTTTCGTCCATCAGCAATCTTGGCAGGTGCCATCTTGGCGCAAAAATCACTGTGTGTCATGCGGTAACCATCTGGCAACTTCTCGCACTTGGAACCGCAATGTTCAAATGGCATTCGCTGTCGTGTCACCTTGCCAAACTTCTTCACAAACGCAGTGTAGTGTGTGTCCAACCATGGTTGTGGTGCTGCTATGGCCATGTCATCGACGTGGCATGTGCAAACTGCAAGAATGGATCCATTAACCTGTTTCCATCTCCAACTGTTCTCATCCATGACGCTGGGTGATCCATCAATTTCACGAAGGTATTCTTGAAGACTCAACTGCCATGCAAGTGGAGCATCGTTCAGTCCGTAGACTGGCTTCAAACAAAGCAAACCATATTCATATTGAGTAAAATCCTTCACCATGAAATCCCTGGATGCTGCTGCAAGATGTCGCCAAACATTCAAAGGTGGTAGAATGACCACAGTTCGCACTGGAGTGGTGTTTCCCATTTTCAGCAGCATTTTCCGTATCTGATGAAAATCCAAACCCTTCAAAAATGCACCAGCAATGTCCCAGCCTCTCTACTTCCAAGTCAAAAACTGCTGCCGTAGAAAGAAGCATTCTCTGGCTGAGGTGTGTGGCAGTGGTAGATCTTGTGGTGAGTAGATCTTTCTGTCTGTCTAGACATCCTCTCGCAAATGGACGGCTCTTCTTGGTGCCGTCACTGAGCTTCTTCCAACGACGTACCCATCTGGCGTCGATGATGACCATCTCCTCGTCGAAGGCATCTCGGTGAATTTTGCGGAAAGCCTTTTCCTGCACACAAACTGTGCAACTTCTTGTCGGCCCGCTTCTTCCACCAATGGCCATATCTTGTAGACGTCATCTTCAGAGATGTCATCATGTTCAACATCAACTCGCCACACCTCCAACGTTCGAAGGTCAACATGTAGTGATGCATCATGACTTGCGGCAATGTGGAACAAGTGCTGGTGGTTCTGGTGAGTGTCACATTGTTTCTGGTGCATAGATGCTTCCGCCATCAGCTTCTCTGTCAGGATGTTCTCTGCCCAAAGCTGCGTACCATGCCAACTGTTTGGGAACTCCATCTTGATCTTTCTGCGTCTGTCCATCAGGTGGTGGATGGAGCATGCATTGTAGCAGGCAACGTAGGATGCTGCATAGTCAAGGCGCATCTTCTTCTTCTCTGGAGCAATGACCACAGTGTGTGTGTGTGTCAGGTCCTTCTCGTTTGAGTGAAGGATGCGCCTCGCAATCTTCCATGCTCACGTCATCATCCATCGGCTGATCTGCCGAAGACCCTTGTTGTTGATCTTGTTGATCAGGCATTGGTTGCGCAGCTGTAGTGGTGGAGCTGCGTCTCCAGTCTCTCTGAGTGCAGTCTTC